GCATCCAGGCGACACGCTGGCTGCAGGGGCGCTTCCAGGGCTCCCAGGACTGGTTCCTCTTCATTTCCTTCGCTGCCGACCTCAGGAATGCTTTCTTCGTCCTCTTCCCTATCTGGTTCCACTTCAGCGAGTCGGTGGGCATCAGGCTCATCTGGGTGGCCGTGATCGGGGACTGGCTCAACCTTGTCTTCAAGTGGTGAGTGGCCCCGCGCCACGCTCCCTCCGGGCGCGTTGGCACAGCTGGACTAATGCGGGCCAGATGTGCGCGCTCAGCCTTGACTCTGGTATAGACAAAGAGCAGCGCTCAGCCCTCAGCCTGGCGCTGACAGTGGTCGCTCCCTCCCGAGCCACGCAGCACTGGCTCTCCCCCCCTCCCAGAAGCCAGGACAAGGCAGACCCTCCTGCAGACAGACCCCTTTGCCATCAGCCGGGGCTGCAGTGCTGCACAGAGCCCCCTCACCGCGGGGGGGGCTGCAGGGGCAGCTTGGCACAGCTCTGATGTGTGGGGTCAGGGCTTGGTGATCCCCCCCATCTTTTAGGCAAGTGTTTCCCATGGGTAAGCCAGGACTCTGACACCCCCTTGCTTGCCCTGGCTGGTAATGCTGGCTTGCTGACGCAATGGGAGCCGTGGTGGGGAGCATGTGAGGGACCCAGCCGCTGCTCCGGGCGTGGGGTGGCCTCGCCAGCAGCGTCAGTTGTACCGTGGGGCTGGTCCCCCCTGGCACCCAGTGGGGTCTGGTGTCAGCCGATAGCCGTGGGTGCTGTCCCCGCGGATGCTGTGACCATGGGGGCTGTCCCCGCGGGCGGTGGGCTGTGGCACCAGTGGCCGTGGGGGTGCTGGACCAGCACAGTGCCATCCCCGCAAAAAAAAAGGCCAGTGGGCCCGGGGGCTGGGCTGGCAGCCCCAGCTCTGCACCTGCCCCACAGCTCAAACCCCCCAGGATGCCCACCCTGCCTGCGTGTGTGACGGGGATGGGTGGCCGCTGCCTCTGATGCCACCATGAGACAGTTGCTCCTGGCCTGAGAAAGGCTTCAAGGAAGCAGACACCACTCCTCTTTCTCAGGGCGTTGACTTTCTCCCAGGAAGTTCTTGCTCTGCCCTGCAGGGCCGGGGATGGGGACATGGACAGGCAGTGTCAGCTGTCGGGACCAGCTGGGTGCTGCATCTGCCACTGCGCCGTGGACCACTCATGGGTCCTTTGTCTCTTCCAGCTCCAGGCCAGAGACAAAACCAGAGCTGTGCCCACCTGGGCTGGTGCCCACGGCCCCTACAGCCTCTGTTCTCCTTTATTTTCAGGATCCTCTTTGGGGAGAGACCGTACTGGTGGGTCCACGAAACGGACTATTACAGCAACACCTCTGCCCCCGAGATCCAGCAGTTCCCGCTCACCTGCGAAACCGGCCCTGGTAGGGTCCCGCAGCCCTGGCAGGGGCAGAGGGCACTCGCCCAGGGGTGCTGCGCATGCAGGTCCCCACCCGGGGTCTGGGTCCCTGCAGGGATCGGGTGCTGGCGTGGCCGGGGCT